AAAAGATCTGTTTTCGACATTTTTTACTTAAAGTAAACAGTCAACAATTTTTGTTTTATTTTTTTGCAGCTAAAATGGAACGTATGAAGAACGATGAGGAAAAGAAATCAGAAGAGGTTATATAATTTGAAAGCTTTTTTAGTGAAAGTGATAGCTATAAATTTTTATTTTTTTTTTTTTTGTAGAGACAAAGATTTTAGTTCATTCTTCAGTAATTTTTTTTTACATTTTTAACGTTTTGCAGATTATTGAAGTGTTCTGCTTGAAAGTAATTTGAAGCAGTTTTTTTTAGGGTGAAAATTTGTTGTCTGAAAAAACTTCGGTTCAAAAATGGGACAAAAAAAAGCAAAAAAAAGGATGTGCGAAAATTCGAAATTGGTTTGTGGAAAAAGCTGACAAAATCGATCAGTTTGGAAGTATAAAATTTTTTTTTATTTACTTTCTCGAGAAGAATAAAAAAAAAAAGAGAAAAATTTAGAGCAAACAGTAGCTGTAATGCTTGGAAATTACGTTTTTTTTTTTTAAACTTTGAATAGCTCAGTTACTGACTGTGTTTTCTCAATTATTTATGCAATTGAAAACTGAAGCACTGTTTTGTCGTTCTCTGAAGTGTTTCTGAGTTTTTAATCGGTATAAAATGTTAAATTTCTGAAATACTACTTATTTATTTCAACGTACTGTTCTTTCAGAGATTATTATTCTCGGTTTATTCCATGTTTTTCTGGTCTTCTACTTTATTCGTTGGACATTCTTCTAATGTCAACTTTTATCAGATTAATGGATTATCAAGCTCACCTTAACAGCAACAACAGCAGATAAACAGAAGACAACATTAAGCTTTTTTAGGCATAAAATTGAAGCTGAAACTATTGTCTGAAACAATGAAAAACACTTTTTCTTCAGGCTTGTTCTTAGTGCAGTTATAAACTATATATAGTTCTAAACTTATACAATCTGCTCACCATTTGATACATAAACGACGACTGTTTCTTGTCATCAATTATTTGTCAACTGTGTTAAACTGTAAACACGGTGCTTTTAATTTCGCTTAAACACTTTTCTTGTATAACTCTTAAATTGAAAAGAAAATTTCCTTCTTTTTAAATGCGAATAAAAGTTTCATTTATACTTCTCCTTTCTGAAGTTACAGTGTAAAAGAAAAAAAAAAGCAGAGATGATTGTGCTAAAAAATATTTGCTTTGTTTTTATAAATCAATTAAGGATTTTTTTTTGTTCAGTAATGAATAAACAGTATATTTGAAAAGACAACCAAATAATCAACAAAAAAAAAAAGAAAGAAAATTAGCAGTCTTTAGGTTATCTCTCTGTGGTTGTTCAGTTGTCATCATTAACCATTATCTAATGGTTAAGCAATTTGCTCAGTTGTTTCCGCTTGTCGATAATTTAGTTTTTTAAAATTCGATAAACACTTAAAACAATCAGTTTGCCTCTTTTTTTTTTTGAAGATGACTCATTCTTATTGAAACTTGAATGAATTACACAGAATATCTGTTCCTCACCGACTAACCAATGCATCAATGGGTAAACTTGTATAAAGTTTACTTGTTAGACAAGTCTGATATCGGCTTGCTAAAAAAAAAAAAAAGGACAATAAATAACTGTTGCGAAAAAACAAAAAAAAAATTTTTTCTTTACATGTAAAGTAAAAATTTTAATTTTTTTCTTAACAACTTGGAAAAAAGAAGTCATTTATTGTTGTCAATCAAATAATCTATTAAAAAAAAAACCAACGTATTATTGCCAATTTTATTTAATCAAAAATTTTAAAAGTGTAAATTTTTGTTATGGTTAATTTTAGATAGACAATAAATTGTTAAACGCTTCTGCTGTTTTAAATCATTAGCCCCAAATATTTTTATACTGCTTTCCCATTTTCGTCTATTCAATGTTTTAAGTGATACAATTTGTAAAATGTTAACTTTATAATTCTTTTACAAGGGAAGAAATTTTTGAACTTTCAATCAGTAGAATATAAAAAAAAGAAAAATTAATACGTTTAACATGACTGTTCAAAGAAGAAGTTTTAAAAATATACCAATTTCAGGCTGTATTTGTGATAATAATATTATTATCTTTAGCAGTTAACGATGATAATTACACTATTCGTGCATTCAGAAACCATAAATTTTTTTTGAAGCACTGAACACCAGTAAGCAGCTTATTGTGCAGTGTTCTATAGAAAAAGTAAAAAACTAATTAATTAATTTGGTAGACACAGAAATGAATTAAGAATTCTATTAACAGTACAATATAAGGCAGTAAGTTATTTATTTTTTATTACAATTTAAATGTAAAGCAAAAATGCACAACTAAGTTTATAACTAAATTTTCGACTTACTTCTACAGATCAATTTTTTGCTATTTTGTTTCTTCTATATTTTATTGCCTATTCACAATTCTCTTCATCTTTTTTCCCCTTCTCTTCGCTTTTTTTTTAGAAAGACCGGAAGTTGCATTCTTAAGCGGATAATGTAGCAAAATAGCGTATGCTATAGTTTCAATTTTGATCTGTTAGCCTATCTCTTTCACGGTGTTTTCTTCCATTCTGTAGTCTTTTGCAACGACATAATCGTAACGTATCCGCTTTTTTTATGTTTCTCTTTACACCTTACTCTTAATAAAAATCAAAAATTTTTTGAATTTAAAAAAATAAACCTGACAATTCTATTTCTAACAGAAAGTTATTTGTATTTTCAGAATCTTAGACTGCTGTTAACAAGCATATTAGACGTCCATTAAAGAGCAATATTATTCTGACTTCTAAAAAAAAAATAAAAAATAAAAAATAAAAAATAAAAGGTGTAAAAAGGTGTAAAGAATGCAACATTTTTTACATTTCAATAAACAACAATTTTCTTTTGCATTTTTCAAAACAACCCTATCGGTGAGTCATATGTATTGCATAACTTGAATGATTGTATACTTTTAAAAAGAACTTACTATTTAACGCTTCTGTTAAATAGTAAGAAATTTTTACAGTTTAAAACTCTGTATAGTTGTGCGATTAATTCAAATTAATCAGTTACATTCTGACTGAAAAACTGTTGTTATTTACACAGAAATAGCAGATGAAACATCAAGTCATCAATGAAACCTGTAGTCGATCATTTTGGGGTTAAGAAAACTATATGTTTGAATCAATGGATTTACTGACGTAAATGAACGCTTTTAATACATTTAGGTTATTTGTTTCAATAATAAAAAAAAGTAAAAACTGTTTAACTTAATGTTAGACTTAAACTTAAGATGTAAGTTTTTTGTCTTTAAACCTCAGTTATGCGTAAGGTCGCCCAATTTCTCTTTGAAATGTTAAAATTTTGGTAGAGATTTAAAAACGATAAAGCTGTGTCTTATTGACAAAAAAAAAATGATTGGGAAATGCAAAACCATTTCAGTGTTGCAATGTGGCACTGTTACCTTTATTGGAAAGACCTTCAACAATGTTTACTTTATCTATTATTACCAACTCAAAAAGCTCAATTGGCCTAGAAGTGGGCAACGTAGATCTAAGCAGATATAACCTATATGTGTTATACCCTGTCAAAAACAGCAACCTACTTGGGAAATTTTCCTGCACTGCATGTTCTCCTCCAGTTGCTATCAAAATTTTAGAATTTGATAAATGTAGTTTTTATGTTTTAGAAGCTATATGTTTATTAGAGCTTGACAAAAGCAGGTTGATAAAGTAAGACGAATGGGTAAACTGTTCTTCGGCTAATAATACAGTTGTCAAACCAATATAATTTTTTTTTTTTTTTTGAGTATTGCAGATACAGTGCAGATGATTTTGAATTAAGGCTAAATGTTTTTTTTTAATATTACACTTATTTGGTTTTTTCTGAACATCGACAAAGATTATCTGTTATCTGTAAAAGTAACATTAAATTTCTTCGGTGTTTGTTTACGCAATCACGAAGTTATCAAAAATACCATTTTAATAACGTTCAATTACATCATTTAAAAGAAATCCTTAATGACAGTGTTCATTAAGGATTTCTTATAAGTGATGTAGCTGAACGTTATTAAAATGGTATTTTTGATGTGTTTAAAAATATACTCATTGATTTTCTTATGCTGATTAGTTTATTGAATGATTAATTGTATTTAATTGTTTATAAAAATTTTTGATTGACAAGCTGTTTTGACAGGAAAAAAGAAGTATGTTTAGCAATTCAATGTTTCATCAAATTCTTGCTTAAAGAATGGTTATGCCAATACGTTGAGTAATTCAAATTTTAGTTCAAAAGCGGGACAGTTTGTACTAGAAATTTAATCAGCTGTTGTTGTAGCAAATTGTAAGACGGCACAGAGGTAGGGTGGAATCTGAAAAAAACTGCATCGTTTGCTGCTGTTTCAGAGGGTTGACGTTTGTGTTAGCCGCCGATGAGTCAGCAGCGTTTTGAAAACAATATGAGGTTGATTGATTGTCGCCGTACGCACAGAGTTACCTCTCCACTGTTTGCTAATGACAGTGACAATGATAGTGGTAATGATGGTGCTGATGGTGATGGTTTTGATGTTGGTGGTAGTGAAGATGGCGGCGGTTATGCTGCTGCTGCTGCTGATGGCGATGGTGATGGTGAGACGATGTTTACTCAGGAGGATCAGATGTTATACATTAACTTCAGTGCTGCCTGTATGCAACCCTCCCCAAACCGCAAGGTGAACTTTTTTTGTTTTCGTGAGAAGCGAAGGACGGATACCATCGCAATGTACGTTGAGTTGCCGTTCATTTCTCCTTTCAAATTTGGTGTGTTTTGCGTTCATATGCTGCCAAATTGTCGAAAATTGATGTATTTTTGCAACTTTTTCCTTCTTGTCTTTTGCTTTTTTTTTGGCTCATTACACAGTCTTTTAAACACTTATGTTGTACGAGTTTACAGCGGTAGAGTGAAAGAAATAACCGAGTAAGTAGCAATGTTGTTGATTTTCAGCCAGAACGAAAAAAGGAAAATTTTGGTATTGGTGTTTGGAATAAGTGAAAAAAGAAGAGAAAATAGAAACTAATTTGATGACTAATTCTTGAACGCTTATCTTGTATCATTTCTTGGTTAACTATGTCTTTCACAAAGCTACATTTTTGAAATCTATTTGACAGTAGCAGTAGATTTTTTTCATTTCCAGTCTTAATTAAAACTTAGCTTTTACAATTAAAACAAACAGTCAACCTTCGATGGTTGAATCTAAAAAAAATTTTGTTGACATTTAACCTCTTAAAAAAACAGACTTCTGATTGAAAAGCCTATTAACAGGAAAGAGAGAAGTTTTTCTTTTTCTGCACACTACAATAAGTTCATTTTTTGACTTCATTGACATATACTTGAGGAGAAAATTTTTTTTTTTTTTGTAAGTAATGTATGAAGTAACAATTTTATAGGAGAAAAATTGTTCTTTTTGACGTTCTTTTTATCGGCGATCTTTGGAATGAACGGAACGAACACAAAGTTGCAGCAGATTTGTTGGATATTTGTGTAATGCTTAGGTTAACTATCATTTTTCTTCAACATTATCGCAACAATTGGCGAAACATTTTGGTGGCTCTTTTTTTTTTTTGTTTATTTGTAATCATTTTTTGTTGCTACAATTTTTTTTCGCATCTTTCTGTTTCAAAACTGTAAACTTTCTGTTTCATTATTGCGTACAAAATTCTTATAGTTATCGTCAATTTTCATGCTTTTTCTGCCTTCACTTTTTCTCTTTTCTAAAGTCTAGTCACGGTGAACAATGACAGTTTGGTAAAAATGACAAAAGTTGAAACACTAAATAGTTATCTGTCGAAAAGTTAGGCATTGATAAATTCTCGACAAATTATTCTATTAAAAAAACGGTATTTTGAAGTTCAAAGACACCGTTTTGTAATCTTTTATGATTGTTCTTTTTGTTTGTCTCTGTGTTTTTGTAATGTTTTGCTGACAGTTTCAAAAAATTTTCTTCTGTTTTAGTCTATGTTCAGCATCTGCTAATCGTGAACTGTACGTTCAATCATCACAGCGGTACAGTAAATTTTGCTTTATTATTCTTTAGTAATGATAATGCATAACTGCTGAAAATATATACAAATAATTCTAATCATAAAATTGAAAAATTTCTGTATATTTAGTTTAACAAATTTAGCAGATAATTAACTGTCATATATATATATATATATATA